AGCCCGCCATTGAAGGGCGCGTCCCTGATCTCCCCAAGTCCCCTCCTTCCCCATCTCTCTTGTCTGAGGTGAGGCGGTCCTTCTCAGCTTTGCCTGACCGAAAAGGAGTTCGCCAGTGGCAAGTCTAAATTCTTTTTTCCTCTGGCCTTCTCCATCACCATTTGCCTCTTTTTTTTTTCCCTTTCCCTTTTCCACATCACCAACCGTCAGACTGTGTGGCCTCTACCTCAGGACAATCTACAATTTCAATTCGTCCTTTTCCCCTCCCTCACCAAAAGGTACCGAGATACCCCAATCATCGACCCCTTTGGTGCACAGTCTCCAAGCTTCTTCGGCGATAAGCTGAGACTGTTCGCCACCACTTGCCGAGCTTTGTCCCGGCCATCCCAACTTTCTTCTCACGTCAACCGTCGCCAAACTTTCACCTCTGTGTGAAAAAAAACCGACAAACTTCAATTTCCTTTCTCAAAATTGAGGTTGCAAGTGCAAAAAATCACTCTCGCTGCACCAAAAGGTTATCATCGCCGTCAAGATGACTGGCCGCCGTGGTCGCCCTTCTCTCGCTCAGAAGGAGAGTATGGCCTCCACTCGAAGCAGTAAGTCGTGGATTTAATTTTATTTCGGCCTGCACATCCACCATCAAATCGTGGACGACTGTGTGCGCAAACCACCATTGATAACTAACACATCCGCAGACTCCCCTGACCCTCTCTCGGCTGCTGGTACCGGCCGTCTCACTAGATCTGCATCGAGCCGTAACCTTGCAGCTGCGGCTCAACCTGTGACTTCAGCCCCTCCGACTGCCAAGAGAGGTCGAGGACGACCCAGCAGAGCCTCCCTGGCCAACGACTCGGCTTCCTCAACTGCATCTGCGTCTGCTGCTGCATCTGCCGACCTCACTTCTGCCAGTGAAGCCTCCACCCCTGCTACCAGCAATGTCGCTACACCTGCTCCCTCCGTCTCTGGGTCTGGCTATGTCCCTCTTGTCCTGCCTGCCGCTTTGAGAAACCCCAGGATTGAAGGATCTCAGTCTGCATCCAAGATCGAGGTTCATCTTCCCACTTCTGCTGGACTCAACGAGCGTGCTCTGCGTCACAGCCAGTATTCCATGCAGCCAGCCAAGCGCAAGGTTGGCGGTGGTTACTACGACGACGATGATGAAGAGGATGAGGAGCCATCTGATAACGACCGCGATGCCCTGGTTGCTCGCCGCCTCCAGAAGGAAGAGAACAAGAAATCGACTGCCTCCACCAGCCTGTCCGATGCCGCCCTCGCTCGACGTCTCCAGGAAGAGGAGTACGAGATGGATGAGTCTGATGTCCCGCTTGCCACTGGTCGCGGCCGTCGTGCGACTGCTATCGCTGCTAAGGCCACGGTAAAGGACAGCGACGCCGACTCCGAAGACGTTCCGCTTGTTTCTCGATCCAAGCTTGGTGGTCGGGGCCGAGGTAGACCCCCCAAGAAGCAAAAGGTTGTGGTCCCTGAGTCGGACAACGAGGATGGATTCGCAGATTCGACGGACGACGAGCTTAGCGATCTCTCGGACAACTTTTCTGAACTTGAGGATGATGACAGCAACAAGATTCCCAAGAAAGCAAAGGCAAAGGGCAAGGCTAAGCAGCCAGTCAGACGGACTAGAGCTTCCGCTTCGACACTGCCTCCAGCCTCTGAGGGGCTCCCTGAAGACGATGACGATGCTTTGTCGAGCCTCGATAGCGGCGACTTTGACAGCTCGGAATCTGACGAGGCCGATAGTGACGGCGGTCTTCAGAGCGCCGTGGCCGCACAGTCCCGGGGTCGCCGCGCCTATCAACGCGGCTCCAAGCGCCGCGGCATGCTTGAACGCGCCAGGTTGGAGAACAACCATCCTGAGCTTCTCACCATGTGGCAGGACTTGGAGGCGTCTCCCGCCCTCAGGCCCGACAAGATTGCTCAGCCGCAGCAGATCTCGCGTCAGCTCAAGCCCTTCCAGCTCGAGGGCGTCTCTTGGATGATTGAGATGGAAAAGACCGACTACAAAGGCGGCCTGTTGGGTGACGAGATGGGTCTCGGCAAGACCATCCAGGCGGTATCCCTCATCATGTCCGACTACCCCCAGAAGAAGCCCTCCCTCGTCTTGGTCCCTCCCGTTGCTCTGATGCAGTGGAAGAGCGAGATTGAATCCTACACGGACGGCACCCTCAAGGTCTTTGTCTACCACGGTACTATGAAGAACGCCAAGAACATGACCCTGAAGGAGCTCAAGAAGTACAATGTCATCATGATGTCGTACAACAGTCTGGAGTCCATGTACCGGAAGCAGGAGAAAGGCTTCACCCGCGCAGACGGCGTACACAAGGAGAAGAGCTTGATCCACCAGGTTGACTTCCACCGCATCATCCTCGACGAGGCCCATAGCATCAAGACCCGTACTACCATGACGGCGAAGGCTTGCTTTGCTCTGAAGACCTCGTACCGATGGTGCCTTACCGGAACTCCGCTTCAGAACCGCATTGGCGAGTTCTTCTCCTTGATCCGCTTCCTTCAAGTTGCGCCTTTCGCGTCGTACTTGTGCAAGCAGTGCCCCTGTGCCGGCCTGGATTGGAACCTCGACGACGATCACCGTTGCCACTCGTGCGGACACGCCGGCATGCAACACGTGTCCGTATTCAACCAGGAGCTCCTCAACCCCATTCAGAAGTTTGGCAACTTTGGACCGGGCCGCGAAGCCTTTCAGAAGCTCCGCTTGATGACCGATCGCATTATGCTTCGTCGCCTAAAGAAGGACCACACCAACTCCATGGAACTCCCCGTCAAGGAGATCTACGTTGATCGCCAGTTCTTTGGTGAAGCGGAGAATGATTTCGCCAACAGCATCATGACCAACGGCCAGCGCAAGTTCGAGACGTACGTCGCCCAGGGTGTCTTGCTCAACAACTACGCCAACATTTTTGGTCTCATCATGCAGATGCGCCAGGTGGCCGATCACCCCGATCTGATCCTTCGCAAGCATGGAGAGGGCGGGCAGAACACACTCATGTGTGGCGTTTGCGATGAGCCGGCCGAGGATGCCATCAGGAGCCGCTGCAAGCACGACTTTTGCCGCGCGTGTGCTAGAAGCTACCTGTTGTCTTCTGCTGAGCCTGACTGCCCCCGCTGCCACATTGCGCTGGCCATCGACTTGGAGCAGCCCGAGATTGAGCAGAATGAGGCTGATGTCAAGAAGTCTTCGATTATCAATCGAATCAAGATGGAAGAATGGACTTCTTCCTCCAAGATTGAGCTTCTCGTCCACGAGCTTCACAAGCTTCGATCAGACAATGCTTCGCACAAGTCCATTATCTTTTCACAGTTCTCATCCATGCTGCAGCTCATCGAGTGGCGTCTTCGTCGCGCCGGTATCACCACCGTCATGCTTGACGGCAGCATGAGCCCCGCGCAGCGCCAGGCGTCCATCGACCACTTCATGACCAAGACGGAGTGCGAGTGCTTCCTCGTCTCTCTCAAGGCCGGTGGAGTCGCGCTCAACCTCACCGAGGCGTCTCGCGTCTTCATCGTTGACCCGTAAGTTACATGTCTCAATACTCACTATCAAGTTCCCAGCTAACATGACATGCAGTTGGTGGAACCCTGCCGCCGAGTGGCAGTCTGCCGATCGTTGCCACCGCATTGGTCAAACCCGCCCCTGCACCATTACCCGTCTCTGCATCGAGGACTCGGTCGAGAGCCGCATGGTGCTGATTCAGGAGAAGAAGACCAACATGATCAACTCCACCGTCAACGCGGACGACAAGGCCATGGAGTCTCTGAGCCCCGAGGATATGCAATTCCTGTTCCGTGGTTCTTAGACTTTTAGCTCGTCTGCAAACTTTCTTTCATCATTGTGTTTTCCCGCAAAAAGTGGATTTCTGTGGTTTCCCCCAGGGCGGCGTTGAGGACAAGGCAGGGCAGACGTAAAGGACAAGGACATTGGGACTGTAGTACCCAGCCCCCATCATCGGAGTCGGGCGTGCGTCGTTCTCTTCTTCCTATACCCCTTTCCGATTTGCAAATATGGCGTGGTTCACGGATGGAACACCTTGTGTGTATGGGTGTGGCCCATTACTTTAGGTAGATACTCTCAGCGTCCAGCTGGGTGGTTCTTTGTTTCTCCGTCTGGACAATAGATTCAGAAATTAGGTATCAGCAAATATTGATCGCAATGCTAGTGACTATGAGGAGCCATATAGTGCCGTATAATCAACTGGCCGGTCAGCAATGTCAGCACCCATGGGCCCATGATCCGCAAACTCCGCACGTGGGCGCTGGGTTACGTAGGGGCCTTTATGTACCAGGGTACGGAGTATTGGAAATCCCGGAAAGATACTCCCAATGGTTATTCAATCCCCACAGGCTTCAGGTGAGTGGAATGGTTCGTTCTGGGAAAGTCTATCCCGTACCGTAGTTCGCGATGCCAAGCGGCCAATATACACGTAACACAACCGTTCCGTTCCAACGCGCCAGTGCCATTCTTAGTACGGCTGGGACTGAAACAATGGAAAACTACGCGGTTTGGGAATATGGGATACGAACTTTGCTCGATCGGGTACCGCGCGGTCTTTTAGTTGACGGGACTTGCGAGTCAGTCGATGACATGGGGGGGTTGATGTGTGTCCGGACTCGGTACCCGTCCGGGGTCCGTCCCACTCGTGGAATCGTGCTGACGGTGCTGGTACGGCTCTTTTGACCGTCACAGATAGGGTCATTGTTTCCACAGCTTGTTCAGAGGAAAGAAGTGGTGTGGTTCAACGCCCAGGTTGACGCTGGGCGTGGATTATGTACTATACTAATTATGTACGTGAATAGTCTTGACGATATCTCCTTTGGCCGCAATGGCTTGGGGATATCCCTTGATGGTATCCTTTTTGATGATGATGATGATGATGCTTCCCCTAAAACTCCAGAAGCCCGCTTCCCTGCCCTTCATAACATGGTCATGACATTTAATTTTCTTTCGTGTATACGGCATGCCGTCGTCCTCCTTACTCCTCAAGTGACGCGGCGTACTCGATATCCTGCTGGGCCCAGGCCGTCAGGCGCGCAGCGAGGTCCTCGTCCGAGATGTCCTCCTCTCTCTCCTTGATGCCGAAGCCGTCGGTGCTGCAGGCGCCCGTACGGCGGAGGTAGTACAGGTGGGCGTCGACGTCGAGGCCAAAGGTGCCGCCGTTGCACTTTGTGTTGGCGGCGCCCTCGCAGACCTTGATGTCGGCGACGGCGTAGTCGACGGTGGTAGCGTTGCCGGTGGACAACCAGTACTCGGGGCTAGTGTGGCGGTAGCCGAAGAGGATGGGGGGCAGGCGGGGGACGGGGTCGTCGACGTGAGTGACGCGGTACTCGGCGCCGGCCTGGGCGGTGACGAAGTTGGTGAAGGCGGCGTTGCCTACACGGGGGCTGCCGTAGGTGTAGATGTCGACGGGGTAACCGTCGCGGCGGAGGTCGGCGGCGGCGATGGTGACGACGGCGCCGCCGAGGGAGTGGCCGGTGCCGACGATGGTGTAGCTGGGGTTGGCGGCCTTTGCGGACTTGACGGAGGCCAGGAGGGCGTCCTTGATCTCGTCCCAGCCGTTTGCGAAGCCGGTGTGGACCTTGCAGTCGTCGACAAAGTCGCAGTCGTCGAAGCCGAAGAGGATGTTGGTGATCCAGTTGCGGACGTTGCTGGAGCCGCGGATGGCAATGACAATGTTCTTTCTCACGGGATCCGTGGCGACGAAGCCTTGGAGGCCAGAGACAAGACCGCTGAAGCGTGTTAGTTACCTTCAGGTCAAAGGTGAAAAGCCAAGAGTATCTGGTCAACTTACGAAAAGGTTCCCACAATCTTTCCTCCGTTGGCGGTGACATCAGGGCAAGCATCGGCGCTGCAGGTGATTGATGTACCAGCGGCGGCCTCGCTGTTGCAAGAGGTTGCTGCCACCATCTATGTAACATGTTAGCGCACGCGGCCAAGTCAGAAGTCTGGGCAATGTCCTACCTGAACGTAGTACTCAAAGTTGGACAGGTCGGCGCTCGACACCGTCACAGCTCTCTCATCGAGAGCAGCCACCGGGGCTCTGACATCGAGGAGGGGAGATGCCGAGACTGCGGCAGACAGCAAAGGGAGAAGAGACAGCTTGGCCAACATGATGACGGTAGAGGAAGCAACTCAAGACAACGGGAACAGGGACGGAACTCGAGGACTTTCTCGTGAGGCACAACGAACAGAGAGACAAGGCAAGCTATCGTCCTCCACGCTGCCGCAACGTCTTATACATAACCAAGAGAGCAACGAACGGAGCACCGGGGTAAAGAGGCCAGTGGATCGGCATCGAGTCGTACACCCCAGACAACGGTCCGTTGTAAGGGTTGCGGTGAGTGTCCACCATGCCTCCAAGTCAAGCATTCATGGCTCGGGCGAGGTTGGGGGCCGGTAGCAAACCAACTCCCCTCGATATTGGGGATATGCGAGCCAGGGTGAGACTTCTCACGCTAAAGCAAACAATACGCAAGACTTTGCGGTTTCTGGCAGTTCCTCCGCAAGTTAGAGCAATCTCGCCAGGCACAGAGCGGCGGAAATCGGCACTAGAAGCGCCAGTTGCGAATGGAAGAGATGCGTTCTTGGAGAAGGCGGTTCCATACTCCATCTAGCAGGGGGCCAAGCTCAAGAGGTCCTACCGGGGGGGCGGCAGTGCGAGATAGACAGCTTTGACCATTGGGTGGCCTCGTCAGACAGACAAGAGGACAAGACCTGGCCCTGGCCGCTATAGCCAAGTATTGGTGGTAGGTCAGCGGTTCGGAGCGATTAGTAGCAAGCCTCGAGTGATATTGGTCTTGAATCAGTCCAACCATGAGGAACAGAATCCACGTGGGTGTGATGAGGTTGATGGACCGTCAAGGTGGTAAGGAAGCGCCCGTGCGGTCAGACAAAGACATCTCGATCCTTGGGTATTCGTAGTGCAAAGACAGAGACTGAGAGACAAGTAATGAGAGTTTCTGCTCAATAACTCTGCGATCCTGGGGTGTCATTTGGCGCCACGTGAGCCAAGCATCCCCATAGTGGGCTTGCCGCTCATTGAACAACGACGACTGAGTGGATGGTCCCTGGACGGCGACGAGCCGGGGTGAAGCTGGGCAATTCCCACTTCTGTTGGGCTCTGTCGAAACAATAGCGTCCGCACCGGGAACAAGTTGTTAATGAAGCTGGCCGAATGGTCCTTGTTCGAACGAACTGGTGGTCAATTGCGGTCGGCCGATTGCTGGAAGAAGCCCGCCGGCCCCCGGGCGAGTCCCTGGACGAGGCCCGCAAGAGCTCAACAAAATGCTGCCAATGTGGTCTTGTGCGAGTTTGAATTTTCCGATTAGTGTCGTAAGTCAAGTCCAAAGCCAAGACCAAGATACGTAAAACCAAATCGGGATTCTCGTGTGGTGATACGCGGCCCTCTACGCTGGAGAGCCGCTCTCGAGGCATCACGCGGACGAATACTCTCGTACCACGGTCCGTTCCTCCCAATCGAGTATGGAGGTCGGTCAGGCAGAACAAGTTCCATCACGCCCATAGTTGTCGGCATTAAGGTACGCCTACAGACTATTGGCAAGAGTATTTGCAAAGAAAAAGCATGTGGATGTGATTAAAGACGGGAAGATGCAGCTGAGATGGATGGCAGATGCAACACCAAAGCCACTAGATTACGGTAGAGTGAGATGGAGGTGGGATGAAAAGGCTTGGAGACTTGGGGTCGGCGGCAGCGTTATGTCATGCTGCTTCCTGCCGCCTCTTGGGAGCTTGCGAGCTTCGGAGCTGAATCTCGCAGCTTCCTTCTTGTCTCTAGACTCTACACGATAGGTGTGCGGCAGCTTCATTCATGCATGCCGTGATGCCGTCCTTGTCAGCTTCTCTCTACGTCTGTCTACCTTAGTGCCTACACTACAGCAGACTCTCCCTCCTTCATCCACCCACCCACACCCTCCCAGTTCTAACGATCAACGGCCAACGGTCAACGGTCCATCGTCGATTCGTCCCTTCTTCCCACCGAGCAACCCGTACCTGATGATCAGATGTCGACCTAGCAACGCGGGGTTGAGACATTCTAGAAAGAAGGGTTGTCATCCGGAGTCCGCGCCCACGAGACCTCTTCCTCGCCCTCCATCACTTGGTCTCTTGGACCTGGTCTCTTGGACCAATACATCCTCAATGCCTCCCCCTCACGACCAGTCGACGTTGCAGCCATCAGCTACGACATATCGGACACTACCACACATCTCGTTCAGCTATCACTGCGCCATCTCTCGAACCGACATTTGACCTTCTTTCTTCCCAAGATTGCCGTTCATGCCGTGCCGCTTCCACCGACCTTGCCTTTTGATCGATTCCCGTTTTCCGTGCAGAACAAGAGCCGAAATCTGCGCTCCGGCACCCCTGACCCCTGCCCCATCGATCTTCGCCGCTGGACCGAGTTTGGGATTTCCGACCGCCTGGTGCTCTTCGCTTGCGAGTTTCCTAATTTCAGCAGTGCCCTGGACTCGATCTAGTGGACGTGGCAGACCCCAGGCAGAGACCTCTTGGGGTATCACGAGGTCCGTCTTGTACCACCACTCCGATGGTACACACCCATTTGCGATGCTGCATATGCACTTATTCAAGGAAATAGACATCTGTGGCCTGCCAGTGAACCACGCGCGCAATGCAACGCCCGGCCACAATCTGACAGACTGACAGCTCTCCCCGCGTCGGAGCCGAGCCCGGACGAGCAGTATTTTTCCCTTTTACAGTTTGCTGACCGCTCACAGCTCGCCAGGAATTCCCACCAAGCGCCCACCCTGCACGTAACAAGGGAGATCTTCACATCCATTTTGCATGCCACCTTGGATCGGCCATGTCGACATTTACGGTCATCATCGCCGTCTTGTCGACCCTTTGGGCCTCGAGCGTGGGTCTTCTTCACGGCTTAATCTTGTCATACCCACCGCTCCTCTCAACGCCCTCGCTGGAAAGGCCGACTCTGAACTGTCACTGTTCCCCGAGGACTTGCGAATGCCGTCGCTTAACTCCAAGTCCCAGGTTCCCACCTACCTACTCCCGCCCGAAGCGAGGCGGTTTCGGCCGCTAATCCGGTTCGACACCGAATCGATCCTTTGTACCAAAAGACTACAGCACAGAATCTCGAAAAGGGTGGTATTTCCCCCGCCTTGCACTGACTTATCGCTGGCGCTGTCGTATCAAACCATACTTTGTCTACGCGACATGTCGATCGACCACTCTAACGCTCATATCTGACAAGCATAGGCCCGAACAATCCAGCACAGCTGCCCAAAGGGAGCATCCCACAACCTTGATACGTTGCAATATCTGCCTTTTTCTAATGCTCTTGGACCCTTCTGGTAGCTATCAGGGCATCATGAGCTGTCAGGTATGGCTGCATATCCCTGCGGTCAGTAGAGTCCACGGAGCTGCCAAGCGGATCGTCTGTTGTCACTTGCCTTCTATACCACGCGGACTGTAAGGGCCCGTGATTGGAGTGTATAGTCATAATGACAAGTGAGAGCTACCGGTCCGCCAGTATCCTAGATATTCCGTGCGTAGTATATAAGTGAATGGCGGTGCTCGCGATGTCGCAGTTTCTGTAGCTCCTGTTCGTCCGCTCGTGTTGACGTAGCTCTCTCTCTCTCTCGTGACCTGTACCATTGGTTCGAGTCTAGCCTATAAGAGCCTTGCGGTAACGAGACCATTCGACCGCCGCCATGGCAAACACATTCTCTGTCAAGTCCCTGGTCGTAGCCCTCCTCGCTAGTCACATCTCATCCTGCGACGCCGCCGTGATATCAGTAAGATCCGATGTGCCTGCCGGATATGTCGCCGCGCCCTACTACCCGGCGCCGTACGGCGGCTGGGCCTCGGACTGGACAGACAGTTATAAGAGGGCGAAAGCTGTGGTTGATAAGATGACGTTGGCTGAAAAGACCAACATCACGTCCGGAACCGGCATCTTCATGGGTGAGTCTTGGTGGAGTGATGTCGTGGGATTCGTAACTGACTTGCACAGGGTGCGTTTATCATCACAATATGTATAACTCCTGCTAACCATAGCCAAGCCGCTGCGTTGGAAACTCTGGCAGCGCTTTGCGTGTCGGTTTCCCCCAGCTATGCCTCGCGGACTCGGCAACCGGTCTCCGTCAAGCCGACAACGTGACGGTGTTCCCGTCCGGCATCACGACCGGTGCCACCTTTGACAAAGACCTGATGTACGCTCGCGGTGTTGCCATAGGCAAGGAATTCCGAGGCAAAGGCGCCAACGTTTACCTAGGACCAGCCGTGGGTCCCATAGGGTATGTTCTGCCCCTGATGATGTCGTCCAGAACAAGCTAACCATAACGCCAGTCGAAAGCCCCGTGGTGGCCGAAATTGGGAGGGCTTCGGGGCCGATCCTGCGCTGCAGGGCAAGGCTGCTGCTCTGACGATCAAGGGCGTCCAGGAGCAGGGCGTCATCGCCACGATCAAGCATCTCATCGGCAACGAGCAGGAGATGTATCGCATGTATAACCCTCTACAGCAGGGTTATAGCTCCAACATTGGTTGGTTACCGACAGAGGGAGAAACAGTGCTTGGTCTCTTGACTAACAACGACAGATGACCGAACACTCCATGAACTCTACCTGTGGCCCTTTGCAGATGGCGTACACGCAGGTGTAGGATCTGTGATGACGGCCTACAATGCGGCAAGTATTCTGTACACATCATTGAAACTTGAACTAACGGATACCAGGTCAACGGCTCGGCATGCAGCCAGAACAGCTATCTCATCAATGGCATTCTGAAAGACGAGCTCGGCTTCCAAGGCTTCGTCATGAGCGACTGGCTTTCTCACATGTCCGGCGTAGGCAGCGCCCTCGCAGGCCTGGACTTCAACGCCCCCGGTGACCAGCAAGTTCCCCTGACGGGCTACAGCTACTGGATGTACGATCTCACCAGGGCGGTGCTGAACGGATCCGTCCCCGTGGATCGCATCAACGACATGGCCACCAGAGTACTGGCGAGCTGGTACCAGATGGGCCAAGACTCGGGCTTCCCCGCGCTCAACTTCGCCACGGGAACCCGCAACAGGGTGGGAGATCTCTACCCGGGAGCCTTCCCCTTCTCCCCCAGCGGCG